TGTTTGCAGTGATTGTATTACAATGATTTTACATTTTTGGTGATGAAAGTAATAGAAAAAATGTAAATAAATGTCTTGAATACATATAACGGTAAATTATTATAAATTCATACCAAATTGTTGATAAATATTTTTATACATTATGCAAGTATTTTATAAAATAAGTAAACTAATGAAGTATTCTAAGAATGCCTTGAAATAATCTAAAGTACTTGGAGAAAGATTTCTTATTACAGTTGACCCTAGGTAACTTTAAGTGAGCTTCATAGTAGGTAATTGTCTTTGCCTTGAAACAATCTTATCAGCATATAAATAGAAAAATTATCTCATTTAAAACAACAGGCTTGATCTTTATATGTCCTCTATCTTCACTATTCGTAAAAGAATTATTGTCATCAGATTATGTGCTGTTTGAAATCAAGCAACTTTGGTCTAATACTTGTTTTCCTATAATGGAAAGCAAGCAAGTTATTCAGGAAGCCTGTTTCACTCCCTATCTCGTATATGATAATTTTGCTGTAATATAAATCACATTACCCATATACATATTATAATTCATAATATTTTACATCCAAATTTCTTTACTTATATTTTTTTATTATATAGAACATCAAGTTGATAGGATGCAAATGAAACAAATTTTTATTATTAATTATATTGATAATGCGACTGGAACCTTTTATACATATAATACTTGTGGAATTTCCAGCTATTTGAGAGTGAAATTTCAGTAGAATTACATTCAACAAAGGAGTTCAAAGGGTTAAGATGATAAAAAGTTATAAGAAAATAACCACTATTTTATATTAAAAATACCAACATTATAGTTTAGCTAACCCAGTATATTAATTTATTTTTATTATGTCACTTTAATTAATATTGCTTATGTATATTATACTTGGGTACATATTACAAGTCTCTAATTCTAATATTAATTCTAGAAATTTTAAACCTTCAGCCACAGTTAGAAAAATTCTAAAGCAAAGGTACCTCAAATCCATATTATTTCTTGAATATTTTTTCTTAAAAAAATTGCAATTTGCATGAAGTATTATAATGTCTAGATATGCTATTATGCAATATATATTACATGTTTTGAAAATTATTATATTTATATGTGATTAAATGTTATTAAAGTAGACAGTTTTATTTCATGTGAAATTGAGGAAACTTCCCATTAGAAGTTCTAAGATTAAATATAGATTGTTAAGTGCCAATCAAGTGATTTAGCAATAAAAGTTTTAAAAAATTCAAAAAGTGGAGTTAATTACTTTGGCTTATGAGTGGTTGATATAAAACTAGTATAAACCTTGAAGTTTAAAAGTGTTCTATTTGATTAAGGTCAAGCATATAAAGTATGCAAATGCTAGTATTAGGCGTACAAAACCGGTATTAATGACTCTGACATTTCAAAGGATGTTGGTAATTCAAATGATAGTTTCTTATTTTCTTTAAGAACATTTTTGTTAAGAATATCATATATCACTAATAAAAAAAAAATTACAGATCATTTTAATTATTACCAACTATTAATTAAAATAGGTTGAGAAATTTGAATCTTTTACAAACACTAAGAAAAAAATTTTCAATATTCAGTCCAGAAATAAAATAAAATTTAAGTCTTTCTATAAAAATTATTATTTTGTGAATTAAAAACAATTATTTTGAAAATGGTGGATAGAATGATCCTAAAAGAGGAATTAATTTAAACAAATATATAGAGAAATAAAATGAAAGTTTGAGAAATTTAAATGTGATAAGGTACACAAATTTTAGTATAAAAAATATTATAAATTGAGAAGAATTTTTAATATTTAAATTATTATATACTGTATATTTCAGCTGACGTTGATGCTATGTGTAACTGTGTGAACAAAAATTGAGACCTTTGAAAGGATTATGTCTCTTTCCACACCAAATTTGACGTTAATGTTTTCCTCCCCGGTGTTTTACAACTTTACATAAGTACGGGATCATTAATAAACAGGTTCGATTTTAAATGACCGTATAAAACCGTAATCACGCATAATTTTGCATAAAAATATCGTTGAGTATTAGTTTACATACATTAGTGACAAAATCTCGTACAGTCAAAACTGTAACTTTTTGCTCGTTACTCGATCGTAGGTTGGACTCAAGGTCGAAGCACATTTTCCTAATCAATGATGTAATTCGCATAACATGAGTTTCCAAGTACGATCAGTGTTCTAACGTAGACGGTTCGTAGGTGAGCAAACACTTTCTTTTTAATATATATGATAACATTGAAAAAATACTTGGACGTGCGCAATTTTATTCGTGCAAGTTTTTTCAGTAAATAATCTGTAGATAAAAAATATATATAAAAATAAAATTTGAAAATATGATGTTACAAAATATACATGAATACTTTATTACAAAATTGGAACAGGGAAATTAAATGTAAAGGCTATAATGGTATTACTATTATTATGATGGTATAATTATAATGATATAATGGTACTGTTATTATTATTATTTTTTTTTTGTATAATATAGAAATATGTAATTAAAATTAGGCAATATTTTAATGAAATAAAAATAAATTAGAAATTGGATAACATGTGTATATACATATGTACGTCTGTATCAGAATTATATTAATATTTATATAGAAGGTGACATTTTGAATATCAACATAATATAAATAATCGTAAATAAAAAGATTGATCTACCTAATCTGTACCTTTCTTGTTCTAGATAAATAATCTACTTGAAGCAGTGTTTATCAACCTTTTTCATCTTGTAGCACTCAAGAAACTAATTATTTATCCAAACTTTTATCTTACTTCAATTGTCTTTTATCCTATATGTTTTTAAAGTTTGTCTGTTAACATTTGGGTCACCAGGTATATCAATATTTTATTGGAATTAAAATTATTTTATATAATTTGATAAAATTTTGGTTTGAATGAAATACATGTGCCAAATTTGTATTATACCTTCAACAAAGAAATTATTATTATGCATTTTTTAAAATTATTATCTAAAAATATTTATGATCTATATTTTTATATTTATCGTGTGCATATGTTTCTAAATATGTTATTTCATAAATCTAAAATGAGTAAAGAGTTATAAATATTAATATAGTTGGAATCATACAGTTATAGTAAAAGTTACAATATCTATACGTACTTAAATAGATACTGAAAAATTGCTATTGATAGTGAATTGTGAAAAAATGTTTTTTTTATCTTAACAACTGTTAGCTATTCTAAGAAAAGATAAATTTAATTATAGCCAGCATGTTCTTTCAATCTGACATTTATATGTTACTGCTTGTTCCATTCTCTGTAATGTATTTTACACACCAGAAATTGTAATCTAGGAGATATTAAATCACGTTTTCAACGAAAAGATAAACCTTTCCAAAGAAGAATTTCGAAATCTCCATAAAAGTAAAAGTAATATGCAAATGACATGTCAGCAGTGAAAAATAATGGTAGACATAGATATCCCACAAAAATTACCTACCAAAAATGAAAACTTATACAATAATCTGTTAAAACACTAATCTAATAATTAGAAAGAAGAAAAAGGAAATGATAAAAATTACTGCCTTCTAAAAATTTGGAACTCAAAGTAATATAGCTAGATATTTATAGGTTAGTGACATTTATACAAATAATTATTATTTTTTAATTTAATTGTCACTGTAACTTGTAACTAGACCTGTATTCCTATTTTGTAATTTTTCACATAATTATGTTAAATAATTTTCAAAATTGGGTTGTTGCAGAAAATATTATTTTATGTAATTTATAGTGCATTGATTTGAAGTAACACAAATGAAGAGCCAACAAATTACAACGTATGTGAAAAATGAATCAAAAAGTGCAAATTCCAGGGTTTTACTTGTTTATAGCAACTTATTAATATTGCAGTAGTATAGTACTGGTTAATTCTGCCATGATGAAAAACATGAAAAATTATTCCAAATAATATTTCTCATCAGAAGAACATAGTGAAGAAATAAGAAAATATCCTTGAAATTACTAGTGATTACTCATTCATAATCGTTACAAGTATTACTCGTTTTTGGTGTCAACTTATAACATAAGTGATCATTGGACATGTCATGCTTGAGATACAGCTAAAGAGGTTATGATGAAAAACATTTTTCGCATAAAATCATAGTTTTAATAAAGATCACTTATTTAAAGCATATAAAATTAAGCACTAATCAACTAAAATAACTTTGACACTAAAATTTAAAAAATTCAAAAGTTAAGCATTTTGGCTTTTGGAAACTTCTACCAAAGATACTATTATATATTATTTAAAAAAATCGCGGTAAAATCGAATAAATAACGATTCTACGTGTAAAAATAAGTCGAAAACGAAGAATAACATTTTCCCATTTGGGGCTTTGTTTCCGAGAAAAGTGAGGTTAGAAATCTGTCAGTTTGTGGGCGAGCACCCAACAGATTTTCAACCTCATTTTTCTCAAAAACGAAGCCTTGAATGAGAAAATGTTATTCTTCCTTTTCGACTTGTTTTTGCTAAAAAAAAAAAAAAAAAAAATTGTTATTACTAATAATTATTTCTTATCAAAATGAACGTTAACCAGATTTAAGTTACAATATTAATTACTACTGGGAATGTTATGCTAAAAATACCATATATATAGAATAACAGCCTAAGAGTGCGAGGTCAGAAAAATGTGTATACTTGGCGATTCCAAGTATCTCGGGTGAATTCATTACAAGCTCCTGCCTGGTCATCGAAGATGAATGTAGTACAGCATAGTAATGTTAAGTAATAATACCTCTCCTTCGCTTTAAAATTGGAGGCCTTATCTTAATTGCTCCCTGCAGCGTTTTCATAGAGTATTTAGAACTAATTGCTCCTCTGACCTGACTATTTTACGATGCACAGGCGATTCTGCGCCACGTTTTCAACTAATTTTCTTGTTACTTCCGAGAAACGACAGTTTTATTTGCTACAAATATACGTTTTGTTTTGTTTTTACTCCAAAGACACTTGAGGACGGAAGAAGGAATGTTAAGGTAACGGTAAAATGTTTTAGCTATTTTGAATACTTTTATGTGCAAAATAAGTGCAAAGATCAGTCTGTAGAAAAAATCTTATTTATAATATAGATTAGCAAGGAAAAGCTAAATTGCCGTTTTTCTGTAGTGTCATTACATTTAGCGTAGTGTCGTTACACTTAGGTAGACGAGGAAGATAGTCTTTTTACTTTATTCAATTATTTTTCGTCCTTTTTGGTTTCAATATTCAGCAAATTATGAGTATCAGTCCAAGTTTAATTTATTATGTATATATGGACCATTTATTTTGAAAATGGTGTAAGTCCATTTAAAAAAATAAAAGAAGATATCACGTAATTTATGCTTAATTTAGTGCAAACTTTTTATTTATAACTAGTTAGTATTTAATATTGTAGGATGGCGAATACTGGTCTTGAGACATCGAAAATTATCGAAAGAACAAGAACACAATAACACAAACTCAAAACTCGTAAACTGATTTAACTTAGAAAAAGAACACCAAGATAACGAAATGAAAACACACAAGGACGCACTCTTTTAAAACTCTTTTTCCAACACCAAGCGACTCACACTTGTGCTGGTCACAACCAATTTCTAAGGACTCTGTTTTTGTTGTCAAGGACCACGCTTTTATGCTTTCCTTAACCTACGCTTCACCTCTCCGTTGGGGAGTCACGCAACTTAATTTTGTTATATAGAATAACTTTTCGATTTGCTTCTAGAAGATATCGATCGGTTTACAATTTGTTTTTGTTGGCAATATCCGATTTGTGATTTCTTTTAGTATCCTACAATATTTTAAAAAGTGCCAATGATTCGTTCAATTTAAAATTGGCTGATAAAAGGAATTGCGCGGCCATTGATTATGAAAGTGGTGTAAGTCACATTTCCACAGACAGATGGCGGGTCGGTGGTCACTAGTGGCCATTTGTTTTATTTCACGTGCCGAAAGTTACTATTTTTGGTTACTTATTTTATTTTCCTCCAAAAACGGATAATTTCATATTAACGTCAGATAATGATATAGGTAAGAAGAAATAGTAAATTAAAATTATTTTATGACAATTGAGAACATAGAATTTAAGACTTTAGATTTATCACCTACATGTCGGGGAAGACCACCAAAATTTTTAAAAATTGACCTGCTGCCTTTGTATCATGATGCCAGGATTATTACACACGAAAAATATATGGATATGGAGCAGTTATTACCTTATATACCTCCTGTGCATTATGAATATTTCATAACACTGCCACATAAAGAGCATAAATAAATAATACTAATACCTTATATTAAGTTTAATAGTATATAAATATAATTAACATTCAAAATAGAAAATACTATTCCTATTTTATTTCTTGTTCTTATTTATTAACAAAATTGGATTTATACGAAATATATTTTAAGCTATATTTAATTTTTCAAAATTGAAATGAAATGATTTTTAGAATTGACTAATTATGAAAGTGGTGTAAGTCCATTTGCAGTCCGTAAATATACATTATTTTAAATTCGCCTAAAAAAAATTTATATAATCAAATTACATATTGATGAATCATTGATGAATTATTTGAATTATTTTGAATTATTTTATAATTATTTAAATTATGAATTATTTTGTAAGCTTCATAATTCTTATAATTATGTACTATAATAACATTTTTATACTTTCCACCATTTTGAAATTGTATAGTTGTTATTATATAATCAAATTCTTATAATTTTTAATTTTTTTTTTACAATTTTCATAGCTTCATGGTTTTTAGAAATTTATATTAAAGACCCAATTATGGTGATGCATAAATGGGTTTGAATAAGGTTCGTAACTATATTTTCTTCATTTTCTATGTTCATGTAGTAATCAGACTGTTTTAAAGTATTTATATTTGATTAAAGAAAGAGTATAAAAGGAAGTATAAAATACGTGGAACAGAACTAACTCGGTTGATTAGCTTGCACTATCTGCCATCTAGTGGCGAACATCGGAACTTCTAGAAGGGGCGGGGCTAACGTTCAACTCGCAAAATTGAAGATTGGAAATTAAATCTCTTTACTTCACGTAATAAATTATTTTCCAGTTTCTTACTTCAAATATTTATTTATTTACTTATTTAAAACGATAATAATCCATAGAAAATAAATTTGGAAAATAAATGTAATGTGGCAGAATTTATTGATATTTCATTCCGATCAAGTTTTGTTTTGTATAATTATTTTATGTATCAGAACGAATATTTTGTAGTGAAACAATTTTATAAAGAATTAAACATTTAATTATGTAATCATCATAATCAATTTGACGTACAGTGAAAATATTATTTAGAATTTTTATTTTTGCAACTGACAGGAAGAAACATCTCTTATGGTCTGAAACAACCATAATTTGTTTTAGGCGCTTTTTTAATATTTCAAAGATATTTGTACATTTCTTTCTTTTTAATTTAATGATCATATATTAATATAAAATATAAAATATTTTATGACATATGAAATCATATATATATATATTTCTTTTTGGTTTTAGTAAACTTAGTTTATTTCAAAATGAATTCATAATACCATAACATTGTTCCTTGAGCATCCAAGATTGTTTAAAGTGATTTAAAGCTCACGGTGAACTGTTAGAAGAATAATGATTACGATCACATAGGGAATTTACATAGCATTATATTAACATCTAAATAATATATTAGCAATAAATTTAAGGTCATTGTATTTTACTTCATCTATCCATACATAGTAGAAAAATAGTTTAGTATAATAGCATAGCACATAACAAAGTTGGTAAAAAGGAGGATTATTTGCCAATTTGAACAATTTCGACAATTACCTAAAAAAATTGGAAATTATTAACTTTCCTAAAATTTTTTCTATAAACTATAGTTTTCATTTAAATCATCTACTTTTCCTTAATATCTCCCATTTGTAAAATAAGCTACGTTCGATGATATTAGAAAATCATTATATCATAAATATAGTGATACTGAAGACTAATTATTTTTCTTTCTGTTTGTTAAATTGTTAAACAGGCACGATCAGAGGAGCATCTGGCGCAAGAACAGGCATGGCTGAGTTCCGAGAGGATTTGGCTGTTACATCGGGGTGGTTTTACTCCTGCGACGAAATGTGGTCCAGCAGACCCGGACACAGGGAAGTTGAGAATTCGTCTGACAACTTCGGGCGAGGAACTTCTTGTAGACGAAGAGGACGTCGAAAAGGTATCATCTCGAGAAATTTATTTAATATTAAAACGACCTATAGCATAGTTGTAAACATTGTGTATTTCAGTACAAGATAAAATATAAAAATAACAAAAATAATATGAAAATCTGAAAAATCTGAAACCATTAATTTTATTCGTTTGATACTATGATGAAAACTTTCAAATACTATAAATATTAAATAACAATCAAATATTAAATAATTTATATAAGAATGTATTCATAATCTTCTAATATTTTAAAATAGAATTAAATTATTTTAAGAAAGAGAAAAACATTGCTTTTGATTGCAAGAAGAATCTATAGTGACCTAATAGAAGTAGTACAATCGGTAGGGGTTGATTCTACGTGAAAAAGCGAATCGAAAATGAAGAACAAAATTTTTTCATTCGAAGCTTCGTTCTCGAGGAAATCGACTTTGAATATTCACCGAGAGCGCGTGCACTTAACTTTGCCTTATAGCAGTGCACACAGTGAATATTCAAAGTCGGTTTTCTCGACAACGAAGCTTCGAATGAAAAAAGTTTATTCTTCATTTTCGATTTGCTTTTTCACGTAGAATCACCCTTCCCCGATTAAAAATAGAATTAAGTTATTTTGAAAAAGAGAAAAACATTGCTTTTGATTGCAAAAAGAATGTGAAATACAGGGTGTTCTAGTACGAGTAGTACAATCGGTAGGGGGTGATTCTACGTGAAAAAGCGAATCGAAAATGAAGAACAAAATTTTTTCATTCGAAGCTTCGTTCTCGAGGAAATCGACTTTGAATATTCACCGAGAGCGCGTGCACTTAACTTTGCCTTATAGCAGTGCACACAGTGAATATTCAAAGTCGATTTTCTCGTCAACGAAGCTTCGAATGAAAAAATTTTTTTCTTCACTTTTAATTTGCTTTTTTGCCTAGAATTACCCCTGCCTGGTTATACTACCGTTGTCGGGACACCCTGTATAATGATTCACAGCTGAATTCTAGATTTCCTCTTTCAGTGACATATTTAGCCACAAAATGAAAGGGACATAAGAGAAACAAGTGTTTTCAAACGAGCTTCGTAGATGGCGCCTAATTGCAGCTCTATTTCAGGTTATGTTCGCACGGGAAATCCCCTTTTTCTAATTCTGTTCTAATTACGATATCAAGAGCACTCTTTAAACCGATGAAAAATAATCTAATCCTTCATTTGCGTATCGATTCGACCTGATTTACTAATTTTCGATAATTCGAGCGAACATCGGTGACTGAAAAATGAGAGAGTTAGAAAGCTATCGCGATGATTCGCTGCACCGAGATGGTGCACAGAGTAACAAGTAGGTTAAATTCGTTTATTTTTTTCTTTTGCAGGCCAATCCCCCTCAGTTTGACAAGGCCGAGGAGCTCTCGCAATTACGTTTTCTCAATGAATCTTCTGTTCTCCACTCACTGAGACAACGTTACGCCAGTAATTTAATACACACATATGCGGGAGATAGCATGATCATTATCAATCCGGTGGCGCCACTGGCGATTTACTCGGAAAAGGCAAGTGACGTTTACAGATTGCTTCGTTTCTTTTTACCACTTAGCGAAATTGCTTAATGGTTCTGTATAAACAAGAAGGATGTTGGGTTTTTTTGCATTTAATTTAATGGCGTTTATAATTAGAACGTTCCTTTAAAACTATTGCACGTTTGATAAGGTTGAAGAAGAGAAAAGGCTTAACAGGTTGACCATATGCTGTCCATTGCTCACATTTTGCAAGAAATTTTCGTATAGTTTGTGCAAGTTGCGTTTATAAAAATGGGAACGTGTCATGGAATTTATTATTATAACTTTTTTTATTTTTTTCATTTTTTTTAATTTAATTTTTTAATTGTGATAATATTTAAGAAAGAAATTAGTGTAATGGTATAGGATAAATTCTCTAATATGTAGAGTTTATTTATTGTTTTTGTTAACAAAGTGTGTATTCACAAGTTCTGTATTATATCTTTTAAATTTTGTCATTTATAATAATTAGGTTAGGATTTTTTTTGTTTGTTTTAATTATAAGAAATTTTTCTACTTGTCTAAGTAACAGAAAGTAAATTAAATGTGACTTTAATTAAAATAAAATAGGCAACCGTATCAAATTTTTATAGCAAACCTATAATAATAGCAGTTTATAACCAAACCAATTGATATGTTTAAATTTAATTTTGAAATATATATATATATATGTATATATTCATTTATTTATTTATTAAATATGTACACATTTGACTAAATCATCTTAATATTTTTTTTTTTATTAATTGCTGTATGAAAAATTTTCTTCAACCAAAGTTGCATTGTTTCAAGAAGAACATTTAACCAGAAAAATAATTTTTTCTTCAACTCAGATTTTTATGAGATTTCAAGGATATCGATATTTTTTAAATATAATCTCATAATTTCTTTTCATACTCTTATAGAGTGTAGAAAAGTATATTCAACAACATAAATCATATTGCTATAACTCAATTCAATGTGTATATAACTCAATTTCGATGTGTATATAAAAATAAAATAAATAAATTTTGTATGTAAATGTTGTTAAGTTTGATGAGAGCTATTTAAAAATCAAGAAATTAGTAAATTATTTAATTCGAGAACATCGAGAAGAGAATTTTTTGGTCCTCAAGATGTACTTCTTAAAAATTTAATGCCCACCAATTTAATACATGAAATAATTAATTGTGTTTATTCGTTTAATTAAATGAAGAATGATATTAGTAGTTTTGGAATTTTACAAAATAAAAAATTATATTGAAATTATCAATTTTTATTAAATTTTGTACATACACTACCATTAGAATAAGAAGTACTATACAAATTTCGTTGAAAAATATATTTGGAATTGCACATTTTTTAAGTATGCAACTCCAATGTCAATAAATAAATATAAAAATTGATAAATTAGTATAACAAAAACACGTTAACGAACAAATAATTGAATTTCTTTTGAACTGAATCGAATCGAATCGAAATCAATCAGGATACCACGTGTGGACAGTATACTTGGAAATCCCATTAAACCGTGTATGATTACTCCAGCATTAAAAGTACGAAGGCAGATCCATTACGATATGGGGTTGCTATAATAATGATCACGTCAGCAACCTAGCAATTATTAAAAGAAAATTAACGAATATGAAATACGTTGTATTTGATGAAGGCAATGACTCAAAGTGTATCGAAAGATGTAAAAGAATTTTTTAAAAATAATAAAACAAACTTGCTCCCTTGACCTCTCCAAGGTTCCAATTTGAACTTCATATATCATTTATGGGTGGAATAACTCCAAATAAAAAATATACAAAGACAAAGTCAATGGAAGACAAAAGCAAAATGAAAAAAGATATGTTCATTTACACTGACAAATTGGTATATCTAATAAACAAAAAGTTTTGGAAAAATTATACTTACAATTGGACTTAGAAATTATACTTCAATTTTAAGAAATTATACCTAGACTTTTAGAAACTATAAGAGAAAGGGAATATCAGACATCATATTTGAACAATTACTATAAAATGATATAGGTGTTTTATTATGGTTTTAGCTTAACTTCTATCTCTTCCAACATAAGATCTTGTTTCCTACTCTTTACATAAATTTTCATACAGCAATAATATTAATTATTTAAAAAATAAAAATTATTAGATATAATAAGAAGGATACTTATATGATCCTTTTAGGTATATCTTGTTAAGTATATCCTTTTAGGATTATATTGTATATTAAATTCTAGTTTCATCAAGATCAAATAGCAAATAAGAAATAATTTGTTTCTTAAAAAGACAAATAAGTTATTTAATTGTATAAACAAATTAATTCTATATAAAATTCTGATTTAAAAATAATGATATATGAAAATTTCTTAAAAAGTCCAATCCTGGTCTGTACTATAATTTGCACTGGTTATTTTGTTACTCAATGAGAAATATGTACAGAATGATCAAGTCTTCATGCCCAAGTTAGAGATGACAAGAGACAAATAAGTTATTTAATTGTATAAACAAATTAATTCTATATAAAATTTTGATATAAAAATAATGATATATGAAAATTTCTTAAAAAGGCTCAAACCTGGTCTATACTATAATTTATACTCTTTATTGTTTTTTTACTCAAAAAGAAATATACACAGAATGATCAAGTCTTCATACCTAAGTTATTAAATTTACTTCCAATTATTTATAAAACCTTTTGACCTGTCAACATAAATATCGAGTACTATATTCAGTAAGATGTGTTTTCCCAAAGCTTATTGCCCATTTACTTCTTTTTCAGGTGGCACACATGTTTAGAGGATGCAAGAGCGAAGATATGCCGCCTCATGTTTATGCGATGGCGCAAGCAGCCTACAGAGGGATGTTAGCAACTCGAAGAGACCATTCCTTAGTTTTTCTGGGTCGTAGTGGATCAGGCAAAACAACAAATTTTAAACATGCTCTTCATTATCTTGTATTGGCTGCAGGCACAGTTAACAAGGTGAGCCAAAATTTATATGATTCAGTAACAGTTCATTTTAATACATATATCAGAAATTAAATGTGTAAAATTATATTTATAAATAATAATTACATTTGTGAATAATCATATTCAGTGTTGCATTTATAACGTTTATGAACTTTGAATTCATGAAGAAAGGTTGAGAGATTGCTTGGAAATTAAAACTCATATAATTGCAGTACATATATATTACATTATGATATTGTAATATATTGGAATATAATAAATAATAATAAATTATATCATAATGTATAATATAATAAAATAATCATAATCATATATCATATAATAAAATATATTATAATGTGTACTATATTATATAGAGTATTACATATTATTGGAAATACTGTAATAATAAATAGTAATAATGTAATTTTTAATACAATACATTATACCATAAATTAATATTTAATATTACATATTAATATTATTATAATATTATAATATATAATTATTAATTATATATTTTATTCTATTAAATTATATACATCCTTTTTTTATTATTTTATGTCATTTTACGAGTTGTATATTGTTTTTAAGATTCTGACCATCGAAAAACTCAACGCCCTTTTCACAGTCCTGGAGGCTTTTGGAAATAGTAGGACGCATATGAATTCCAATGCAACGCGTTTTACACAGATCTTTAGTTTGGATTTCGATCAATCAGGGCAAATAGCATCCGCATCTTTGCAGGTATATACAATATGTTTACGTTAACACTATCTTCTAACATTTGAAAAGCAATAATTTTAAGTAAAATCATTATAATTTTTGTTGATAATCAGAAATGTTTTAATCCATTCATTGTAAATAAAGGAATAATTTATATTCTTTTTTAGGTGTATATAATTACATAATTATTGTATTATTCAATTTATTTCTCACGACATTTTTAGTAGCAGAAATTTATGTTACATCCAAGTTTTAGAATTCTACTGTACCAATGCTTGTACTATAAAGTTTACTATACCAGTACTTTGGTACTATGGCTTCTGGGTGTAATGCCCTCAATAAAGAACACAATCGATCGAATCAAGAAGGAAGACTCTAGAGAAATATTCAAATGAAAAGTGATTTTCAACAATTCTTTTATAACATAAGACCTTCCACAAAATTTTTTGCTGTTTTTCGTATAGTTTAATATTTCTAGGTACAAATATTTTTGTTTTGTTTTAATTCGATTTTCATTATAACTAGAGTTTCAAAATTTCAAGAGAGAATCTTATTAAAAATATTTGAAATACCCAATAATGTATTAAGAAAATATTAAATATTTAATAGTACAATAATTATTAAAAATGTTATTTTATCTTATGTCATATTAAAAATAATATCAGCGATTTTCAAATATATGTAAGAATTTTTGTATACATTGACTGTGGAGAATATAGGAACAAAACGTGTCAGCCACACGTCATAATGGTAACAACCATCACGCATATAATATATACAGCAAGCTACTATATATTATATGGTTTCTATTGAACATTTTAGACAATCAAAAAAAAGAACAAAAGAAAAAAATATGTCCTTTGTTCCTCGTAGCAGCTCACTCTTACTACCCTCAAAATAGTTTACACTGTAATAACAGCTTATATATCAGGCGATCAAATCCATGTGGTCTTTAAGAGTCTCTTTATAGCCAGTTCTATAGATGCTTGGTGAAACCCAAACACCACACACGTTGTAGATTTCATCATCAAAACGCAGTTAATACCATACTTAACTTCACCTCCAACAATTTACAATGATTACCATAAATACATCCGAATATTTACAAGATGTAGCACACACCTAACTGAAGCTGTATAGAAGAGTTTAAAGGGACGTTCAGAAACCACCAGAGAACTTAACATAATACTCTATACTCATGCCAAAGTGTACAGCATAAATTTGTACTGAATCTGTTGGAGTACCAAAATACCTTAAATGACTATACATAATCTTCTTCTTCATGCACACTTGAGGAGAACACTATCATCAATTGTCACATACAGAAATGACAACATTCACCATGATAATAAATACCAGTTTAAATATCTTACTTCACACCAGATTGAAATTATATATAAAAAATAATTTGTACAAAAATTGTTTGATATAAAGAGAGTGTAAATCATTTTTATTATCAGGCAGCAGAAATAATTTGAAAGAGACATAATTTTTTAAGTGGAACCCTCTATCTGTTTCTTCATAATATTTTTCAAGATATTCAGTATCTATGAAAACCAAACGATATAAATTAAATTCATAAAAGTTAGATCAATACAACTATGTAGCATGAAATAAAATGAGAAAAGAATATTTAAGACATTGACCTAACTGTTTCCCTTTGTTCACCAGGTATTGCTTTTGGAAAAATCCAGGATAGGCAGAAGAGCGAATGGAGAGCCAACCTTCCATGCGATTTACCGTTTGCTGGCAGGCGCAGAGGGTGCTCTCAGAAAGGAATTGCACCTTACCAATCTAGTCGCGGAGAACAATGCGTTCATTACACCTCTGCAAAAGCACGAAGACAAGCAACGTGCTATGGTCGAGTTTAATCGAATCGTGGCCGCCTTTAGGATTCTTGGTGTTTTCGAGGCCGACGAGAAAGTCATTTGGCTGGTCCTTGCTGGTATATATCATCTGAGCTGTGCCGGTGCGGTTAAAGCTGGCACCAGCTCGCAAAGTCGATGGCAGTTTGCAAGAGTCGAGTGTGCAGAGAAAGCTGCCACGTTATTGGGTACTACCGTCGAGGAATTGAGTAGAATAGTCTTTTCTTCCAACGGAGGTGGTGCTGGTACACCAAGTACTCCAAGACCTGCTCTACGTACACCGAGTCCTACGGAACAAAGCAAAGATATCATGGGCTTAGATGCCCTCGAAGGTCTTCTCATTGGACTTTATTCTGAAGTGTTCCATTGTGTAGCTGCTCTCATCAATAGGTATGATCCTTTTGTTACTAAATACTGACAAGCTGAGGATAAGCTGAGGATAATGATAATAATGTAGCTCTTTATGTTTCCACAGATCCATATCATCCTCCGTGCACACAGTGTCGTCCTTGTTACTGTGTGACTCGCCAGGTTTTCAGAATCCGGCCTCCTGTGGACGACAAACTGGAGCTTGTTTCGAAGACCTCTGTCACAATTACTTGCAAGAACGGCTCCAGTTGCTGTTCCATCATACGACTCTGGTGGCCCCAAAGGACAGGTATGTTGTAGTCGAATCTGATGAATTGATTAAAACATCTTATTTCAATTAAGAAGTATAGGTAATATAACAGAATCTTGAATTAAAATTTAATTTTCTCCATGAGGATAATGTATAATTAGAATGATTTTATGTAAAATTAATATATATGATTGTTTAATTAACCCCTTCAACTACAATATCGCGTGAGACTCGTGGTAAGGAAATTGAGCCAAATATAAGTGTGTCTGACGAGAGCCGCATGGTCTGTAGATAGGGCCCAATGTAAGCAACACGGGTGAGACTCGTGGTTAATTTTCGTCGATATCTTACTGTCTCTGTTACGTGTTATTCTTCACTCCATTCATACGAAATGACTCATTGTATGACTGTGCTATTGATTATGGCAGGCGCCATCAGAACTTAAATCGTAGGACAAGGGGTTAACGAATGTATTATTCTTGAGTTTAAAGTCAAATAAATGTCCTTTGCTTTGATTTCAAGAAATGTATTGTATATATAGTCTTTAATAACGTTAATTAAGACAAGTTATTATTTTCACTTGTCTTCAAAACCTGGATTTATCATAAGAAATATCTCTCTTGAAATATTTGAATTATATTCCAAAATGTAAAAAAATATTCTTGATGTTATATACATTCAATTATTATTTAATATATATGATATTTGAAATTACTATGCACAAACTATACATACGTAAAATTTTGTTGTGTTTTTTTCTTTAATGAAATCATTATTTTTAATATTAACATATACTCTATTCTTTCATTTAATAATATGTGATTAATTTAAATTAAAAACATTTGCTAATACATTTCAAAATTTATAATTTTACATCAATAGAAGTTTTACAAAAGATAAAGATTTATATATATTAGATTAAATTAGATATAATTAGATGTAAAATTGATGTATCTTTTTGTATTTATCAATATCGAATAGTTTGATAATTTAGTGTTATTTTGATTTAATATTGTAGTTCTAGTTGGAAAACATTTAATTTAAAGTGTGGTGATTTACACTAGATAAGAATTTAAAGCTTAAAAGTGATTGGTTAATTATCATGTCTAGACTGTGACTAGAGTGGGGATAAAGAACAAAAGGGCGGTAAATGAAAGACAATGTCGTGCGAATATAAAAGATAATTTTAATGTGTTTGTTCATAAATTATGTGAAGTGCTAACTTTAACTAATTTTGGGGTTGAAAGGAATGCATTATATTTCCACGAATAAAGAAGAAAATAAGAATTAAAAAATTTTTAATGTAATGTATAAATTATTGTTATGGAATTCATCTGTATAACTAATACATTTTAAAAATAGGTACGTCCAAGAAGGAATTGACGTAGATTACGAAGATGACTGCGATGAAGATGGAATTGGATCGCCTCAGGGTTTAATTTCGCTATTAGATCGCGGAAGTTCGCAAGGTGCGACGATGTTGCGAACTAGTCAAAGTGACCTTAGTGGTAGTAGACAGATGGAACGAAAGGGTCTTCTATGGTTGCTAGACGAAGAAACAGTATGTCCTGGTGGTAGCGACGAAACATTTTTAGATCGATTGTTTTCTCATTATGGAGATAGAGGTATATAAATGTTTTTAAATATTGTATCATTTTGAAAAATAAAATAAGTTGCAAATGTTTTTCAATGATAATTTTTCAATAAAAAACTAATTTTTTTCCTTAAGTGAAATATATATTTAAAAAAATATATAGAAAATTAGATTGTATATAAAATATTTTATATTTTGCATTGAAAATTTAATTTATTATAACAAAAATTGAGAAATTATGACATACAAAATATATAATATATTATACTCAATAAAATTATTTTTATTATTTTGGTACTATTGTATAATGTTATCATAATAATGTAATCATGTCTTAATATAGGTATATATTTTTTTCTTTCTCTTTTTTTTTGGACACGATTCAAATTTTAAAAAAAAGATGAAAATTTATACCACTATTTTTATTCACCATATCATTCTTGTTTGTTAACAGATCATCAGATATTGCTAAGAAAAGCACCTGGGAACAATCAATTTGTCTTACAACATTTGTTGGGTACTAACCCTGTACTATATACAGCAACAGGATGGCTGAAAGCGACGCGAGAAAATCCTGTTACTAAAAGTGCCATTACTATACTCCAAGAAAGTACAAGGTATTTAATTTAAATTAATTAAAGTTATGTGGAATAGTTTGATAAAAATAAATATTATATTAAGAGTGGAAGAAATAATCTTTATAAATATAATGCAGATTATTTATATTATTAACATTATTATATAGTCATTATTTTTATTTAACTGATTATTATCTTTATTGTGAGAATTTATGTATGTTCAAATTTAATATAGTTTTTTTATATTTAAAATTCATATTATGATAATTTTAAAATCATTATACATTTTTCATTACTTCTTCAACCTGAAATAATTAATAAATATTTTTATAAACCAAAAGTTTTTGATCCAAGTAACTAACATTATACTTTATCTTGATATCAGGGAAGATGTCAATATGCTATTCGTTAGTGCACGTGGAGCTGGGGTATCTGGAACCTTATGTAGTTCTATGCCTGGTTTAGAAGGTTCACAGTCTCTAAGAAGAGCTTCTAGTATACGACGAACATTCACTGCCGTAAAAAGAAAAAATATTTGCCTTCAAGTCAAATTCACTGTTGTAAGTTATAACACCGTATGTCATAACTATTACTATTTACTTGTAATCTGTAATTCGTCACATGTCCATAAATACTTACGTTCCGGCTAAAGAGAATATTTAGTTTCTTATAAATGTACACGCACATGAAAGATAAGGTCGTATGTCGTATTACATATTATATTATCTTCAAACAATGACTCAGTTAACATAAGTTTACGAATAACTGAAACTATACTGATTTTCGCTTTATGAACAAGATACTTGTAGAGTTGAAAATGTTCCTTGAATTAAAATGCACGTTTGTATAGTATCACTGTCTGTTTTTGTGTTTTGCTTTGTTGCCGGTTTACGTATAAGAAAGACAAGATATCGTATAATCGATTTTTCTGAAAAATTGATCTAAATTTTATATCTAACATAAAAATGAAGAAGATTTTGTAATTGGTTACAGGATGGATTAATTGAAACTTTACGAAGAACTCGAGTTAAATTCGTCCATTGTATACTGCCGCAACACAATGCTGGTTGCACTGACAATAAAAGTCTATTATCAGTAAAGTCGAATCAAAGCGAGGACAGTGTTATTAACGTACCTCTTCTACGATCACAGGTAAAAATTGTTTTAATATCATAAAAGTTTAATTGATTTGTAATATTGCTTTTACTTAATTACTTTACAATTTAATTTAAACAATTAATGCAGAAACAAAATAAAGTATAAAAAGTGTGTAAACAAATAATAATCGAAAAAAGCTAGTTATATTCAATAATTGTTTGTATATTTGAATAATATGGGTACAATTAACTATTAGAAAAACAATATGTATTGTTTTAATACAAACATTTACATATATTATAGATTGTTATATATAGTTACAAAAGTAATAAATGTTAAAGTGTAATGTCTGCTGGAGTTAATAATAGACGAATAATTCACTGATAGTAATGCATTAATATCGTGAGTAATTATGAGATAAATGTAAAGTATGTGTGTCATATAGGTATAATAATGTAGTATAAATATTCGTATAATATATTAATAACATGGTAATAATGATCATTAGTATTGAATTATCTCTATATATCAATAATTCTTTTTACATTTTAAGTCTATATATGTTATATAGTATATTAAATCCAAATAAATGTGTCTATGTTACATAATACAAGAAATATAAAATTAAGTATAAATTCAATAGATGAAGAGTAATATAATTATATAGTGAAAGATGCTAGTTAAATATAAAATAATAATGTACTTCTGTTTTTTATTTCAAAGTTATTACAAAAAAATTTAAGTTCAGCTATACCAGATTTTTATTTATGCTATATAAACCTTCACTCTGCGTTAATTTTTCTATTTGAAATACAAGATATAAGGAGATATCTTAATTTTTGTTACAGATTCGTGGAAGCCAAATAATTGATGCAGTTCGACTACATAAAGTTGGATTCCCTAAGCACATGGCTTTGGGTGAATTCAGAAGACGATTCGGCTTATTGTCAAGCGATGTAAACACACGACCAGGTAGTCCTGTAGCTGATGAACGTCGTGCTGTGGAAGATATGATGCTCACCGTAGATGTAGATCCAGCATTGTATCGAGTTGGTCAAAGTCAGGTAAGTGCCATCTTTTGTCTTGCATTTTTTCCCACATTAAGTAGTAATGTGGTTTTAAAGACAGGAATTCCTTGAACAATATCGATTAAAACTCGTTTTGTTTATACTATTCTGAAAACAAACGTATCCGGTGTGTACTGGAAAATTGTCGGTATAATAGATTTCTTCAAAATACAATTAAAATGGTGAAAGGTTTTAAAACTAATTTAATTTCCGAGAGTCATAAAATATTTCAAACGAATTATTCGATTTCCGGGTATTTTAATAACATATTAAAAATTTGAATACTAAACTCTATTATAATTAGTAAAATTCAATTATCAGTATTACTAAATTTTTGTAATGATACGAAATTATTAAAATTTTATTTATTTCTTTTAAATACTTGATTCTCTGATCGTTCGTATATTTAAAGTTAAGCTGCATAATGAAATTATAGTAGAAAAGAAATTTATTATCTTCTTTAAAGACAGTAATTAAAAATTTACAAATTTTTAATTGTCTTCAGAAGTATAGTAGTGATAATAAAAATATATATATAACTAGAAAACAGGGTTGGATAATTTCATTGAAAAATAAAAAGACGCGGAAAGCTTTTTCCTTTTAAAACGTCTAACATTTGTGGTATTTTTATTCCTCATAAAGATGTTGATCAATTATAAAACAATGCTATAATTCACTTACACAAAAAATCTTGTTAAAGATTTACAAATATAAAAATTAGAGTAAATGTGTTTCCTATAAAAATTTGATACTTTCGATTTCTAATAACTTTCTCCCCATCATCTATAAATTTCAAGCAGGTTCGTTTTATTTTTGTTATACATTTTTTTCACTTTAAAATAAGCTTTTAATAGCATCTAAATCACCTCGTAGCATAAAACCTATGAGAAAGGAACCATAATGAATGTCTAGAAAAATATATAATTACGGTACTTCGGATCATACCAATGTTTTAAATCAGCTTATTTCTGTTATCAAATACTGTTATTCACAGTACATTGACTTTTAGTTGAGCGTGTAATCATTTCACTTTTTACTCTTCTGCCTTCACCTTACTTAACTTCCGCATTATTTTCCGTGTCTTTCTTCTTAAAGCGCTATGCATTGTTTTATGTGCTGCAAGTCCATAAACCCCGCCGTAAGAATGTTACGTAGAATATTGACCTTGTTTCAAATTCCATTCTCATTGTAGGCTCTGTAAACGATTCATCATTCAGTCAACAATGTTATATTCGTATAACGGGTCGTTTAAAATTTTTCTGCAATATGGTATATGATGTGATTGTTAATATTTATATCTAAAATAATTAAAATTATATTTTTTAATATTTGATATAATGAATTTAAATAGAATATAGATAATTAAATTACTTTTGTATTTTTTAAGTGTAGTTTTATTATAGAGTTAAAAAAGGATTAAAAATGTATTCTTTATGAAGTATATGCAAAAGGAAATCCTTCATATAAAATTTAAAAAAATGGATTTTTTCTGTAAAATACGTTTTTTGTGTTTGAATTTCGCAAATAACAATTGTAAATATAAAGCAGTTAATTGGAACAGGAAGTTAAGTAAGACTGTACTTGTTTCTTGCACAAGATAATGAGCTCCTAATAAAAATTAGCGTTTTACGACAGTATCGGAATCTAGTTCAACTGTTAACTTTCGTTATTCGAGCGATAAAGATGTCTAAACAGAGTTTATTACTTTTTGTTCTATTATGTAAGTATTCTAGCATAGATTAAATTTTGAGTTCTAAATCTTTTTGATCCTAGATAATATTCTTTGGTATTCAATCATTATTATAATATTTAATTTTTATGGAATAGTAATATGTAATTGTTATTTAATTTTTAATCTAAAATCTATATTTAATTTTTAATCTTCAGTCTTTATTTAATTCTTAATTTTTAATCTTCAGTCTTCATTTAAATTTAAATTTATAGTTAAATTGTTTGATTTTTTATTTCCAATCTTCATTTCAATTTTAACTTATTATCTTCAATCGGTATTTAATTCTTTATTTTAATTTCCAATCTTCAATTTTCAATCTTCATTTAAATTTAAATTTTTAATTTTTACTTTCTATTTTTATGTAAATTGTTTAATTTTCCATCTACAATGTCTGCTTAATTTCTCATTTTTAACCAGCAATCTCTATTTAATGATTCCTTAATTTCCAATCTTTATTTTTAATCGTATTCAGTAGTTATTAATTTTCATCTAACGTGATTTATTGTAGCTTCATTTAATCTCAATCCTTAATCGTCATTCTAACCTTTAACTCCGCATAACCTCACTAAAAATTCCAATGTCAGGGCTCTCTGTCCATGCGAGTCAGTAATGGACGACTCTCTTACTCTATCATTCGCAACTTTCAATTTGTCCGTTTTAATACCGCCGTATTTCAGCGTGGATCGTATTTCCAGCATCGTATCCTTCTCTATAGTAGACGCACTTTCACTTTTTTCCTCTGCAGCTACTAATGCTTTTACCTGATGTCTCGTTATCAAAACAAAAAGAAACTGAAAGGCATATCGATAGCGTTATCCTAACTTGTAATACCGGTCTTAAATATCAGCTGTGGCATAGATACCTCGCTTAATACCACCTGCAGCTCATGAGTATTCGAGTGCTTCCGCAATTCGATTCACCGTTGCCCATTCGTTCGAGTGTGAGAATTTCGGTAACGTCACATGACTGAAACGAACATTCGTTTTCTCAAGGAGAATCACTTTACGTGATTTCGGTCAACTTTCTCCGTGAATTCGATTACGGTTTCATCGCTGTGGCGTGGCCGGAGATCGGTGTCGATACGAACCCAGTCATCAAAGGGGATCTTCGCGGCCGTCGGTTAAATAGATTTTTACTCTACTTAATTACCTACACGAGAATACGGTCTCGCGGATTAAATGGAATTCCGCTACTCAGATTGTGCTCGTAGTTTACGATGTAGTGATTAACTTTGATCATCTGATAACCAAATGGTAGTTATATCACGACTTACAACAAGATTTTATAATGAGATACCTTGATACACTACGCTATCTTATAAATTATTAAATACATGTGAAAGTTGTTTGCATTGGGGTTATTGTAATGTAGATTCGAGATATTTTTCTGGAATTATTGTTTTGTAAGTTTTAAGTTAACTTTTCATTTTATCTTTTCTTATCCTTTTGTTTTCGTTTGTGGAATATTTCGAGCGTTCTTTACTCGTTTATAGGTTATGATTTGTACAGTAAGTGTTAATTATTTTTAAATTTATTTGGAAAATTGTCATAAAATACGGAAATTAGTGTTCATAAAGTCTTTTGATGAAATAATTGTGCGGAAGATGTTTCTGCATCTAAAAATATGTTAAAATAGCGGAATAGAATTTTTTCGTTGGAGGCTTCGTTTTCGAGGAAATCGAGTTTGAAAATTCATTGCGCATGCGTTCTTTTATTCAAACCGTAGCGCAACGAATTTCACTATAGACTGTCTCTATTCATATTCATAAACGTACGTTTTTATACCGACAGGTACTATTTTCAAAGTACTGATGAAGGAAGATTACATACAGTGAAATTCGTAGCGTTAAGATTAAGCATATGCACACCCCACGAATCTTCAAACTCGAATATCTCGAAAACGAAGCTTCTAACGAAAAAGTGGTATTCGTTCTTTTTCACTTATTTTTAGACGTAGAATCGCGTCCATCTTATTTTTATCATTTTTATCACTATTATCACATTGTGTAATGTCATATACATATATGAATATATTAATAAACATTACTAATAATATTATAATAATACGATTATTATTATTATAATAATACAGGATGTTCTTACATGAAATATATATAAAATTGCAATACGTAATGTACAATATATCAGTATATTTATATATTCATTATATAGTAATATATAAAAATAAATGTTATATGATGGCATAAAAGACAGAGATTAATAAATGTGTCACTCGTTATATAGTACCATAGTGTAACAAGCCTGTAAAAAATGGTTTCCAGGTTCGCAATCTTACAGTTGTATTTATGTAATTTATATCAAGTTTATGGAAAGCAATTTGATAAATAATATTGTAGTTGATTAAGAATCTAGGTGAGTCACCACTGGTACGCGATATTATTGCGAATAAAATAGATTCAAAAAGATTAAATCGATTCATAACACAGTATAGGTACATGTAGAAGATTATCGGTCCCCGTTGACCGGAAGCATCGATCGATCACGTGATCAGGCGCTTCTTAGATTTCATCGCGAATAGGCATGTATGAAGTAATAGTGCAATAATTACACCGGGTGTAATTAACTACACCGCAATTCAAAATATCCGCTTTAAAAATTTTTTCTTACTGAGAATTCTGTTTAAGATAATGGTGCAACAATTATCCGCAATTCAAAATATCCGCTTTAAAAATTTTTTCTTACTGAGAATTCTGTTTAAGATAATGGTGCAACAATTACACCAAGTATAATTAACATTAATTACATCACAGCACAAAATATCCGTTTTTAAGTTTTTGACTAAAATTTCTGTATAAACTAATGGTGCAACAATTGCACGTAGTGTAATTAACACTAATTACACCGCAGTTTAAAATAACCGTTTTTAACATTGTTTTATTGAAAATTCTGTTTAAAATAATGATACAACAATTACACCAAATGTATTTAACACTAATTACACCACAGCCCAAAAAATTGCTTTAAAGTTTTTTTTATTGACAATTCTGTTTAAAATAATTTTACAACAATTACACCAAGTGTAATTATCACTAATTACATTACAGCCCAAAAACTACTTAAAATTTTTTTTACTGACAATTCTGTTTAAAATAATGGTACAACAATTACACCAAGTGTAATTAACACTAATTACACCGCAGTCCAAAATAAATTTTTTAAATTTTTTACTAAAAATTCTGTATTCAGTATTGACTTTTCTATTTTTCTTTTAACCCTTGGTACTATAACAACGAGTTTTGCTCGTC